TACTACTACTACTACTACTACTACTACTACTACTACTACTACTACTACTACTACTACTACTACTACTACTACTACTACTACTACTACTACTACTACTACTACTACTACTACTACTACTACTACTACTACTACTACTACTACTACTACTACTACTACTACTACTACTACTACTACTACTACTACTACTACTACTACTACTACTACTACTACTACTACTACTACTACTACTACTACTACTACTACTACTACTACTACTACTACTACTACTACTACTACTACTACTACTACTACTACTACTACTACTACTACTACTACTACTACTACTACTACTACTACTACTACTACTACTACTACTACTACTACTACTACTACTACTACTACTACTACTACTACTACTACTACTACTACTACTACTACTACTACTACTACTACTACTACTACTACTACTACTACTACTACTACTACTACTACTACTACTACTACTACTACTACTACTACTACTACTACTACTACTACTACTACTACTACTACTACTACTACTACTACTACTACTACTACTACTACTACTACTACTACTACTACTACTACTACTACTACTACTACTACTACTACTACTACTACTACTACTACTACTACTACTACTACTACTACTACTACTACTACTACTACTACTACTACTACTACTACTACTACTACTACTACTACTACTACTACTACTACTACTACTACTACTACTACTACTACTACTACTACTACTACTACTACTACTACTACTACTACTACTACTACTACTACTACTACTACTACTACTACTACTACTACTACTACTACTACTACTACTACTACTACTACTACTACTACTACTACTACTACTACTACTACTACTACTACTACTACTACTACTACTACTACTACTACTACTACTACTACTACTACTACTACTACTACTACTATTACTCTTACTGTTACTGTTACTATTACTATTACTATTACTATTATTATTATTATCAAACTTTAGGGTTCTATGTGGATCAAGAAGAGATAATTAGTTTGAAGAGAATTGATAGTTGTTGGGTTAATGGCCCAATAAGGGTCGGCCCATCAACCCTTAAGGATCACCTACGAGCATCCTGCTAAAGGCCCAAGGAGAGGGTCAGGCCCAAGGGCCAGGGGACGTACGTAATCCATCGTCAGCCAGTGCCAAGGCCCAGAGGCCAAGGGACGTACGTAGCCCATCGTCAGCCAGTGCCAAGGCCCAAGGGCTAGGGGACGTATGTAGCCCATCGCCAGCCAATGCCAAAGCTCAAGGGTTAGGGGACATACGTAGCCCATCGTCAGCCAGTGCCAAGGCCCAAGGGCTAGGGGGCGTACGTAGCCCATCGTCAGCCAGTGCCAAGGCCCAAGGGCCAGGGGACGTAGGTAGTCCATCATCAGCCAGTGCCAGTGCCAGGGCCCAAGGGCCAGGGGACGCACATTGTTCATCATGAGGAGGCATCTAGACCCAGGATCCCTACGAGGTATTCGGGGACGAACGTCCCCACCTCTTAATAAGGGACCAAGGGTGACCCAAGGATACGTCAGGGATAGTTGCCCTAACCAAGCCCTTGGGGACAACGACCAAGCCCTTGGGGACGAACATCCCTACCCAATGGCACGAAACCAAGATTCTGGCGGGAAGCGCATTTAATGTAGAAGATTTGGTGGTTGAGATCATGACGCTCACAGCCTGACACGTCGACGTAGCCAACTACCCATTTACGGTATAAATAGTAGCATTTATTTCACTGTAAGGGGTTCACAATATGACATTCTAGCATTATAGCAGTAATAACAACTCATAGCATAGCACAATACGTTCGGCCCCTTCGGCTTGTAAAAGTTCAAGTGAGTGAATACAGTTATTTGGCCCATTTCCTGCTTGTTTCTTTACCTTTCTTGTCCATCACCCATTCGAAACCCTCAGGTTACGTGTTGGGCCTGCGGGTTGAGGGAATAAACCTCAACAATAGTGATCTTGTTTGGGTTAACATTATCTTGTTTTGCACATTAACAACTGGACATAATATATAAGTTGTTTACTAGATACACTAACTGAACTGTTTTTTGTTTGTTACAGATTGTTTCATTTACAATCTATGATGGACTTGAAGGAATTTTGAAGCTACTATTATAATTCTTGGAAAAGATTGCTTAAAAAATGAAACAGTTAAATCTATATTTGAGATTTATAGACGTCTTTACTTTCCTTACGATACGTATCCGGATATTAGATATGAATTCAACAATTAACGAATGGATGATGTTTGATAGACAATCATTTTAATGTATCAGCGATGATAACTTTAAATTGCAAACAATTGATTACATTGTCTAATTCTACATGTAGATAAACAAACATAATTATGTAATGGTGATTACATTTCAAAGTTGCTATTACTTAAGTAACCAAACATAGTAATGAAATAGAGACTGCATTTCATTAGATTGCATTATGTATTGCATTACACACTTCATTACATTTCATTGCATTACATCATACCAAACATGGTCTAAGAGTGTTTTACTCTAGTGGACAAAAAAATCAGCAATGGCCAAGACGAATACATCACTTCTAAGATTGTAAACTAACTAACTAAGGCTTGAACTATTTACCCAAGTTTGCTACAATTAAAGGGTTGGAGGTGATCAGGGAGCGCTGTGACGAGCCACATCATATAAATGTGCCAAGTAAAGATTCTATGTGAGCCTGTCACCCAAAGCTCACCCCAATTCCAGCTCTAGTGTCACATGCCATTCCGCTAACTTCACTTCCTCAACTATGTAGAGTTTTTGTTCAGCCACTAACACCTCTCGATTCTCCCCATGTTGCTTTGCATTGTGGCTAGATTCATTTTGTAAAACCCATTGCACCACCAGTAGCGCACATTCCCTTACAAACCCAACAAAGGAATATCACCTTTCACAAATCTTCTCCAAGTGGTCCCACATATCATTTTTCTTTTTTCCCTAAAAAAGAAAATTTATGATGGGATTTATGGTTGAATGATTTGCAAAGAAAATGAAAACCCCCAGAATAACATATATCATCCGGTCAGGGACCAGCGAATGAAGATGGGATGCAAATGTTGGATTATTCCTGAATTACGATAATGTGGGATTTTGTAAGAAGACCACTAAAATGTTGAATTATTAGTTTCCATTTTCCCATGATACGAAGATAGTATTATATATTGACTGTTGGGTCCTTAAGACATTTTTTTTGCGTCATAAAGTACTCGGGTCTAGTGCATCATTTATAATTTCAGGAAAAATCATTCTTTTGGTTGTTACACTTGTACTGTATGTTGTCAAGGTGGTTCTTTACATGAAAATCTTTTCCATAACAGAAGAGAATATTTAAAGATCTACTTTAGTTCGACTTGCCTATTATCTCATTATAATTTTAATTTTTTTAAAGGTTTAAAATAGATTAGTACTACTAAATTTAATTCTTTAAAAACCCAAGAGGCTGTTTACTAACAAAGATATTTTCCTGTTTTCTACTTCTGTTTTTCGTTCTCCAATTTTCTGTTTTTATTCTTCAGTTTTCTATCTCCAGTTTTCTGTTTCTATTTTCTAGTTTTCCATTTTCAAATCTAAAAACATGTTCATTAATTTTTTCACACAGTTCTATGATCATCCAGAAGACTGACGCGTTTACTTCATGGGTTACTAAATGGTGCTTATTAAGACTCGTGTTAATAAACGACGCATAAAATAAGCAATGTTATAAGATCATGTTTATTTCAAAAGGTTTAAAACATCGTTTAACATTAAAATGTCCAAAATAACCCTATACATATATAGACACACAAACATTCATGAACACAAATATATAATATAATATAATATAATATAATATAATATAATATAATATAATATAATATAATATAATATAATATAATATAATATAATATAATATAATATAATATAATATAATATAATATAATATAATATAATATAATATAATATAATATAATATAATATAATATAATATAATATGTGGGGTCGATCACCTCGTATGTGTATCCATACTCCTAACCCCTACCCAGCCCCTATACCGCGTACCCCCACCCTACACCCTACACCCAATTCCACACCCTTGACCCCTACCCCTACCCTCACCACGATCTTACACTCTACCCATACTCCCCTAAAACCCTTCATACCCACCCATACCTACTCGTAGGGGTCGGGTTAGGGAAGGAAGGTATGGGTGGGGGTGGGTGGGGGTGGGGTAGTGGTGGGTTAGGGTGGTGGTTAAGGGTAAGGGTGGGGGTAGTGAGTAGGGTTGAGGTTGGGGTAAGGTAGGGGTATGGTAGGGAGTTGGGATAGGATGGCAGTAGGGTGGGCCCGGGATCAGGGTGGGGTCGATGTAGGAGAAGGGGTAGGGGTGGGGGTAGGATGGTGGTGGGGGTAGAATGGCAGTAGGGTGGGGGTAGGATGACAGTAGGGTGGGACCGAGGTAGGGGGCATGTAGGAAGGGGTAAGGTAGGGGTAAGTGGTAATATACAAGGTGGGGGTAGGGTTAGGGTGGGTCGGGGTGGGGTTGAGGTGGTAGGGGATGGCGGTAGGGTAGGGTGGATCATGATGGGACCGAGGTAGGGACATGTGGTAGGGGGTGGGGGTAGGATCATTGTAGGGAAAATGGGTACGCAGGTTGGGGGTTGGGTGGGTAGGGTAGGGTAGGGGTAAGGGGTAAGGTACGAGTATGAAGGTACTGAAATGGAATCGACATCGAAGTGGGACCGGATCCACCACTAGGTGTAACTATATGCAAATTCATTACAACGATCTGTTGCATCTGTGTTTTTCAAATTTGGAAAACTAGTAAAAATGACTCTTCAAATCATTAAGAAAAAGAGAGAAATGTCTCATTTTTTTTCATTTTTGAAAAACCTTTGGTAAAAGCGTTTTTATGTTTTCATTTCTTTTTTCAGCAATTTTTTTGTTAAAAACGTTTCCAGTTTCGTGTCGTGTAGTTTCCCACCAATTGCATCCAGTCGAGTTCTCAGTAAACAGGCCCTTATTATTTCTTTTGGTGTAGGTTTCTGATTTTTGACTACAAACTCTCTACATCACAATCCTTTTAGCCGCCGCTCCGTCCTTTTTCTATCAATTCCCGGCCGTCGTTCCATTGCAATCTGTTGATAAGACCTGGATCTGTGGTTGTCTATTGTTTGTGTTTCATTTGTTTTAGTAAGCACTTATTTGAATCTGAACGTTGAGTTAGGCCGGAAATGGCAGAGCAGAAAGTGAATGAGCAAGAGGGAGTGAAGGGTGGAGAGTTGTTGTTCTGTGGGTGCACGTACTGGGACGCTATTGGTCGGCGTAAAGTGTCTCCGGAGCACAATCTGATTTCTCCGTCTAGGCTCCGACCACTCGTAGGCGTCAATATTTGCTTTGTTGCTGCTGGCTGTGGTAAGTTAATAGCTGCCGTTCTTTTCCATGAGCTACTGTTTCTCCTTCATAACGTAGCTACTAAAATATTTAGATTCAGGGGCCATTTGAGTCACTTTTTTCGGGCTCAGCTGTGTCATTCAGAGTTTTCTCTTATTTATTTTTTGGGCCATTTGACCTCTTTTATCATGTATTTCAATTGTTATTTCTAAATCAGCATTTTCTGCAATGTTAGCTACAATTTTAGCAACCTAAAGTAAATTCAGCCAAATTCACCCTCTCAGTAGTCAGTACTGGCTCTTAGTATACCATCTGCTCTTTCTTGTGTTCTTTTTATATGGCATGGCTGTTTCTATTGTTGTTTTCTCGATTACTTATGCCCCAGTTTTGCAGTACACTTGTTAGTATTTGTCTGTGTAATTGTTTTTTTAATAAATGCAGCTTCATGTCATTGTGTTGCGCTGGATACTGAAGGCCGTTGTTATACATGGGGGCGAAATGAGGCATCATCTTTCTTCATCTCCTATCTATTATTTGCTTAACTAGTGCTATATATAGCTTTTTGTAATGTGTAAAAAAGATGGAAGCTTTGTTGTATGTGTCCAGAAGGGGCAACTTGGTCATGGAGATAAAATTACACGGGACAGACCAACAGTTGTTTCAGAACTCTCAAAGTATGCCTCTTTGGATCTTTTCCATTTCTTAGTCATTGATTTTTTGTCATACTGTGGTAACATCTCACTTCATTTGTCCTAATTTAGTTGATATTTTAGCAATTTTCATGCATTAAGGATCCATAATTCCATACAAAAGACTACTGTACCATACACAACAGTGAGGATGTCTTTATGATCCATTGATTTTTGTTTCAGGCATAAAATTATCAGAGCAGGATCTGGAAGGAGCCATACAGTAGTTGTTACTGATGATGGGCTCTCTTTCTCATTTGGATGGAATAAACACGGACAGCTAGGGACTGGTTCTGTTAGAAATGGTTGGTATATTCAGTAAACCCCATGGCGTGTTGAAGGGCCTGATTGGAACCCAGAAAAGATGCGGAAAGAAAATATCAAGGAAAACATAGATAAAAATGGAAAGCAATGAAAACTTAGGGAAAAATAAATAATATGCTAAAAATCCTCTGTATTTTCTAGGGTCTAACCATATAGGTATTATCTAACATTTTCATGTATTAAATTGCCATTCAGTAAAACTGTTGCCTTTTGTGTTGGAATCTTGCAGAAATTGAGCATTCTCCTGTACGTTGCCTTGTATCTGAAGCAAAAACAACTTCTTGTGGGGCTGATTTTACTGTGTGGCTAACTTCGGTTGAAGGATCTTCTATATTGTATGGTTGTGTATTTTTAAATCTGAATTCCTAAATATGACTCCTTGATTTGTTTTCCATATGAGCAGATAATTTTTTTAATGTGCATAGTGTTGTTTCATATTATTTCTAGAACTGCTGGTCTGCCGCAGTATGGTCAACTTGGTCATGGCACTGACAATGAGGTAACATTGTTATACCTATTTTATGTGTTTTTCATGCTATCATGGATCGATTCATGTTAGCTGACCCCAAAATCTTTTGGGAATGAGGCTTGGTTGTTGTTTTATGCTACCAAATTATTGCTTCATATCGACTAATAACATATATTTACTGTGCAAATTAAAAGTTCTCCTCACAGAAAATGTTTTATTTGTTTGATTGTTCGCAAATAAAGTTATTATGCACACATGACACCACTGAATTTTATATAGGGAAAAGAAATTTATGGTTAAATGATGTAAGATAATGAGATATGGGTAACTTGGTGGTTAGACATAGCAAAGAATGCTGAGTATCCCACATTGGTTTTACTGGGTTAGAGTCTATTATGTAATTGTGACATAAAGTAATAAAGTATACATCTTGAAAATCTTTTTTGGGGTGAGTTAGACAAGGTAGCACATTATGGGGTTGATTTGGCCCATCTGCCTACCCGTGTGCTGTCAAGACTGAGTTGGGTTGTATGGGTGGGTTGATTATCTACTTCCTTTTTGAATGAGGTAGACCTATTTTAACAAATCTTATAAAATTCTTATAATTAAATTCCTAAACTTAAGGACATAACTTGATAAGTTTGTATGAACTACATCTAGTTTCCATCTATAAACGGTTGTCTGGTAGCTTGACGATGTTTATATTTCACTACAGCACAACACCAAAGATAGTTCAGTGAGGCTTGTATATGAACCTCAACCGAAACCCAAAGCAATATCTGCCTTTTCTGGAGAAACCATAGTTAAAGTGGCTTGCGGTTCAAACCACACAGGTTCTTATCTTAATGTATTTGCCTATATGTATAACACATTATATGTACATATGTGTACACATTATACATGCATGGACACACATAATATCTATGTTCCAATTTATATTGTTGACAATCCTCTGCTCTTTTTGTTGCAATGATCAGTTGCTGTTGATGCCAATGGATTTGTTTATACGTAAGATCTCCTACTTCATGTATGGTTTAGCTTATGATCACTTGTTTTTAAACACGTAGACGCAGTAATTAACCATTTTGGGTGTTTTACTGGTAATTTGTCAGCTGGGGCTTTGGTGGCTATGGAAGGTTTGTATTCTTTATGATATGATATATATCACTGTTATCAATGAAAAGCTTTTCATTACAATCATGATTTTTTGAGTTGGCCATGTTGTTAATATGGCATTAATTAAGTGCTTAACTGTTGCTTGGTTTGTAGGCTTGGACATAGAGAGCAGAAGGATGAGTGGGTCCCACGACGTCTTGATAGTTTTACCAGGCAAAACGTCCTCCCTCCAGATGCTGTGCTCTCAGCTGGCTCTCTTAACTCATCTTGCACAGCTGGTATGCTATATACCCCACACATGCACACACAGTTATATATATACATTTATTAGTAATTTAGTATCTATATTAATGATAAAAAATCTACAAGAATGACCTTTATTATGTTATAAAATATTTTGGTCTCAATTTGGATTCCGTTTGATAAAGCTGCAAGCAGGGGTGGATCCAGTAACTCAAACTATTGGGGGCACCTGTTAAGAAAAAGTGATTTTGTTTTTGAATAATTAATATAAATTTACTTCAAATGATGAAATAATCCAATGTTAGCAAAATTAAACTCATTACATTTGATAAAACAATCCAATATTAGCAAAATTAAATTTATTACATTTATTGCAACTCCTATCTACAATTTTTCATTTTTTTAGAATGTTCCATCACAACTTCGTTTGCCAATCATTCAAATACAGTCACTATTTCGATTGCTCAAATTTTACTTGACAATCTTCATCGCAAAAAAGCATCTTTCAATTGTAGTTGTTACAATTGACAAAATCAATGACAATTTTAGTAGTCGGTATTCTAAATGATATGAAAGATGTTTTCTTAGCCACCATCACTTTAACCATGTCAACATGCAGAATTTGACCAATGTATTTTTTTGAGAAAAACCATGGCCCCAAGATTGGCATAGTCCTCTAGACAAGTAGTGTTTTCTTATTTATTTCTTTGATCAAGATGATACAACAACAACATCCAAGCCTTAGTCCCAAAAGATATTGGAGTCGGCTAACATGAATCGATACATGATATCACAACCAAGGGAGGTGAATCAAATCGATTTGTTTAGGCACTAAAGGAGAACTATTTGGTACATTACCACTTAACTTTCTCTTGCATCCTGACTTTGATTTGATGGAGGGGGTGATCTTTTTAATAATAATACCTTAATATCATTGATCAGTCCAAATATATATGAGTATAAAATTATGAGTATTATTTTATACATTATATGGTGGAATAATAAGAAATAATTCCAAATATAACCAAAATAAAAGTAGTGGACAAAAATGTGACTAGTAACTTTAGTGACTATAATTGTATTCAAATGTTATATTGTAGTGATTAAAAAACTTACTCATAGTAACTTATAGTCACATTTTTATGCATAGATTTTTTACTAGTAATATTTTAGGAAAAACCTCATAAAGTAAATCGCCTCACTAAACTGTCTGTGCTTCTTTGTTATGAAGAAGCAGCCAATCCATGCAATTTTCAACGCGATTTTCATCATGGATCATCCGGAAATCTCTCTATGCTTTAGTACAACAACGACATCCAAGCCTTAATCCCAAAAGAATTTGAGGTCGGCTAACATGAATCGATCTATGATATCGATGCCAAAAAGAGAAGACGTACAACAAAGGGAAGAAAAAAGAAAAAGTAAGATAAAATGAATAAAATAAAGATAAATAAATATAAGCTAACAATAACACAAGAATATAAGAAAGATAAAAGATAAAAAATAAAAGAGCATAAAAAAGCTAGAAGATAAAAATAACATAGGAATATAAAAAGATAAGGAAGATAAACGATAAAAGAAAAAAGAGAAGAAAGGTAGAACGACATCAATCGTTCACACGGATGTGAGCCCTCCACAATGCTCTCTCCAAAGCCATACTCTCATCCAACCCAAGAAGACGCATATCAGTTCTGATTCCTCTAATCCAAGTCTGTTTGGGTCTTCCCCTCCCTCTCTTCTCTGCCTCTTTTCCTCGCCCCTCAAGTCGTCTAACAGGTGCATCACTCGGTCTTCTACGCACATGCCCAAACCATCGCAAACGAGACTGCTGCATCTTATCTTCTATATGTGCTACTCCCACATTTTGTCTGATTACCTCATTCCTCAAGCGGTCTTTTCTGGTATGTCCACACATCCAACGCAACATACGCATCTCTGCCACACTCATCTTTTGAATGTGGCATTGCTTCACTGCCCAACACTCTACACCATACATTAATGTCGGCCTAATTGCGGTACGATAAAATTTACCTTTCAGTCTAGTCGGCATACCTCGATCGCATAGAAATCCTGAAGCACTCTTCCATTTCATCCACCCAGCTCTGATTCTATGGCATACATCTCCATCTAATTCACCATCCTTCTGAATTATGGAACCCAAGTAACGGAACATATCACACACCGGTATCTCCTTACCATCAAGTGTAATCCCACAATTGCTACTACTTCTACCTCCACCGAACTTCCATTCCATATACTCAGTCTTACTTCAGCTCAGTCTGAAACCCTTGCTCTCCAATGTTTGTTGCCGTACTTCCAACTTCGCTTTAACACCGGATTGTGTCTCATCAATCAATACAATATCGTAGGCAAACATCATGCACCACGGTATATCTTCTTGAATTGACTTCGTAAGTTCATCCATGATTATAGCAAATAAGAAAGGACTCAAAGCAGATCCTTGGTGCACTCCGATTGTAATAGGGAACTCTGCGGTTCTCCCTACACTAGTGCAGACACTTGTAGTACAGACATCATACATATCTATGATGATACTATATACTTACGTGATATGCCTTTTCTAGTTAAGGCCCGCCAAAAAACATCTCGAGGTACCCTATCATATGCCTTTTCTAAGTCAATGAACACCAAATGCAGATCCTTTTTAGTGTCTCTATACTTCTCCACAACTTAACTAAGAAGATGAATTGCCTCAGTTGTTGAGCGTCCAGGCATAAAACCAAATTGATTCTCCGAAATTTTCACTTTTACGAAGTCTTTGCTCAATCACTCGCTCCCAAAGTTTCATAGTGTGACTCATAAGCTTAATCTCTCGATAGTCAGCACAATCTTGTACATAACCCTTATTTTTAAATAAGGGAATGAGAGTACTCTTCCGCTAACTCACTGACATTTTTTTGTTTCTCCAAATCATGTTGAAGAAATGTGTTAGCCACTCGATGCCTTTCTCTCCCAAACTTCTCCAAGCCTCGATCGGTATGCCATCTGGGCTCACTGCTTTCTTCCGCCCCATTTTTCTCATAGCCTCTTTAACTTCTGTTGTTTGAATCCTTCTCACGAAGTCCCGATTTACCATACACTCTGGTATAGTAAGATCATCAATACCTTGGACTTTATTCCCTTTGAACAAGGTATCAAAGTATGACCTCCACCTCTCTTTTATTTCTTCGTCGTCCATTAGTACACTTTGATCGACATCCTTCACACACTTAACTTTTCCGATATCTTGAGTCCTACGGTCACGAAGGCGAGCAAGTCTGTAGATATCTTTTTCTCCTTCCTTAGAATCCAACTTTACATACAATTCCTTGTTCACTTTTCCTCTGGCTTCCTTCACAACTTTTTTTGCTCTTTTTCTAGCCTCTTTGTACTCCTCTATGTTCTCGTCGCTCCAACTTTTGGCCAATTTCATGTAGCATTCCCTTTTGGCCCTTATTGCTTGTTTCACCTCATCATTCCACCAAGACGTCCTTTTTGGTGGCAGACATCCTTTAGATTCTCCGAGTATCTCCTTCGCCACTTTGTTAATGGTGGACTCCATTGATAACCACACATCATCTACGTGTGCAAAACTTTGTTGGAGATTCCCCTCGAGCCTCCACCATTTTATCTTTGGCTCCCTTTATACCTAAACTCGTCTCCTCTTTTTACCTCAAAAATCAAGCACAAGCATCCTATGTTGAGTGACAGCACTCTCACCTAGGATAACCTTGCAATCAGTGTAACTAGTTCTCCAAGTCGTCCGTACTAAAAAGTAGTCAATTTGGGTACTATTAGCTCCACTTCTATAGGTGACAAGGTGAGAGTCTCTTTTCTTGAACCAAGTGTTCATCAGAGCCAACTCATATGTCGAGGCAAAATCCAGAATGTTCTTCCCCGCTTCATTTCTAGTGCCAAAACCATGTCCTCTCTCTCCGTGAGTACCAAAGCTTAAAACCTCTGGGATTAATCTCACGTGCCTTTTCTCCAATCCACTTAGTTTCTTGCATGCACATTATGCTGATATTCCTCCTCTTCATAACCTCGGCTATCTCATATGATCTTCCCGTAAGAGAGCCAACATTCCATGTCCCAAAATGCAATCTAACACCCCGCCTTCTCTTCTTCACCCCACATCGACCCCCACCATGCCCTTGCATATTTGACACCATCCCCGGGCATTGGAGTGCTGCGTCGCTTCCGGGCGACGACCTAGCAACCTTAGCATTCTTATCACCACACCCAGGCCTATGAAGTGTAGCGCACCCTTGCTCATTTTACACCACCCCCAGGCGGAGTGATGATGCGTCACTTACGGGCAACGACCTAGCTATTGCGATATTCATATTTCGATTCATGTCATGTGATGCGAGTAAGTGGTAGTGTTGGCCGTCACGCGGCTACCACAACACCTTCCTCCTTTATCCCGGCTTGGGACAGACATGATACCAAAAAATGATCTCATGGCGGAGTTCTCTCTGTGCTTTAGTATACATGGAAAATATTGCTATGTTTACTGTCTAGTTAAAGTGTCTCGCCGAGATTTGGAAAATATTTGGAATTCACACACTTTTACTCCTACGTAAGGCAATTTCTTTAAACATAATTCTTTAAAAATAATTGCCATAATGAGCAGCTAAATTTGGTGTCTCGCCGAGACTAGTAATTCCCTATTTTTATACATTAAACAATCATAATCCTTTATTCCTTACTAAAAAAGTTCACAACAATAATCTCAACTCGCTTAAAACTTCACAAAAATGAATCGGAGGCTAACAGTGTTAACGTTCTGTCGTTATTTTTGGATGTTCTCCTAATTGAAAAATATATGAAGCATTGAGAATTCCTGATCCTAAATTTATTTGCACTTTGAATATAATTTAATATTGAATATTTTCCCTAAAATATATTATAAATATTTGAAAAAACACATGTCAAATTCTCCTACGAAAAATGAATTCTCTACTACTCTTTTATTTCTTATCAATATATTAATCATATTCAATCTTATTTTTCATCGTAATCGACATCTCAAAGTAGTAATAATACTATATTAAATATTACTCCGTAATTTAGTAATGTGACAAAAATGATACAAATTACTTAGACACTAATGTGTAAGATATTATATTATAATTTTTCATCGCACACGTAGTTCTAGTAATACTACATTAAATATTACTCCATAATTTAGTAATGTGACTATAATTATATTCAAATGTTATATCGTAGTGCTAGTATCATTTTTAACTTAGACAAAAATGTGACTAGTAACTTAAGTGACTATAATTGTATTCAAATGTTTTATCGTAATTTTAGTAATCTTATTATATCGTATGCATAGTATCATTTTTAATTTAGCCTAATATTACCATTTTATCTCTTATCTATCTATCTATATATATATATATATATATATGTACATACACACACAAATCTTCAGGTCTGGAATTCCGGACAGGAACCCGCCGTCCGGATGGCAGCGTTTCGGCGTCTTCCTGGTGGAATTTTTTGATGAAATTTTTATGACAGCCTTCCAAAAATCATTTTGGGCGTTTCAGCGTTTCGGCGTTTTATATGTATATTTTGGGCGCAGTTATCTTCCAAAAATCATTTGACAGCCTTCCTGATTGAATTTTTAGCTGATTTTTTGTGTGGATAAACTAAACTTGATGAAAAACATGCCATAAAAATTTCATCAAAAAATTCTACCGGGAAGGGCCCCAAATGCTGCCGTCTGGACGGCGGTTCCGGTCAGGAATTCCTGACCGGAAGAGTACTCGATATATATATATATATATATATATATATATATATATATATATATATATATATATATATATATATAAAGTTCATGTCCAGAATTCTGGACAGGAACCGCCGTCCAGACGGCAGCATTTGGCCGCCTTCCCGGTGGATTTTTTTGATGAAATTTTTTGGACATGTTCTCCATCAAGTCTAGTTTATCCACAAAAAATTTCAGCTAAAAATTCAATCCAGAAGACATTCAAACGATTTTTGGCAGATAACTGCGTTTTTATATGTATATTTTGATGAAGTTATCTTCCAAAAATTATTTGACTGTCTTCCCTATTGAATTTTTAGCTGATTTTTTTGTGGATAAACTAGACTTGATGGAGAACATTCCCAAAAAATTTTATCAAAAAATTTCACGGTTTCACGGGAAGGATCCCAAAAGCCGCCATCAGGATGGCGGTTCCGGTCAGGAAGGCCTGACCGGAAGATTACTCTCTCTTTATATATATATATATATATATATATATATATATATAGACACACACACACACAAACACAACCGGCAGGCAAGTAACTGTTCCCCCCATGGCCATTACATGCATATCACTTGGGAATCCATTTACATGCTGTCCGTATATGTTTAAAGAGGATAAATGTAAAAATATATAAAAAAAATCATTGCATAATTATTAATTACAAAAGTATCAATTAACAGTTTAAGTTTATCAAATGCCATCACACACGTTTGCCAAAAAAAGTGCAATCACACAATGAATGACATGTATTCTGTATTAGTAATTCTTTTACTATCAGTGATATTTATGCCTTATACGTAACTTTATTATTATGAATTAAAAAGATGGAATTTTATTAAATATTAAAAAGTAGCACGTAGTATGACAAAAAAATCACACTAATAAATGTAATTCATTCAAAAAAACTGAAGGTTATAATTTCTTTTGTGTTGTAATGTTTTTTAATCTTATTTTTTCGCAAAATAATATAGAGAAAAAATAAGAGTACATATGTTCCATGCATCGCACACGTACAATACTAGTAATTTGGAATGGATGTGATACTAAGCTATTATATAATTTATTTCATTTTTATGTAAGGCATTTCTAACCATTTGTATATTCAAAAAAGTTTATAATTTTGACTTGATTAATCCCAAGTTTGAAAAATTATAGGCAAACAATCTCAGGTTGTTAACAATTTCACAAAAGTGAACCAATATAAGAATTACTATCCTGAACTTTTCCAGTAGGTATTATTGTATAATGTGTAAAAGTATCGATTATTGGTGTCAGAATGTTTTTACTTGGACTGGAATTCGCTGGTTTGATCTGGTCTGTTTAAGTCTGGATCGGTCTAGTCTTGTTTGATAAATGTTTGGTCTCTGTGTATTTTATAACTACGTAAGTCTGGTCTGTTTAAGTGTGATCTGGTCTGGGACTGAAAACAGTATAAGTTAAAACACCCTCAATCTTGCCTTGTAAATTTATAATAAAAAGGTTCAAATAGAACCTTATACTATTTCCAATCCGTCACTTTATCCGTTATACTAAAAAAGTATCATTTAAGTACAATTACCTTAAAAAATCAATCAATAGGGCCATTTTATCGGTTCTTTACCTCATATAGTAGGTTACTCTTTGGGCCCTTTGCTCCCTTTATTTGCTCAACCTTCCAATTCCTTTTATTTTTATTCTGGGACATATCCTTTGTCCGAAATAAATTAATTCCTCGACATAATATATCATCTTGTCCTAGATAAATATAATACTTCCTTCGTTCTTTTTTAATTTCAACGGTCTACTTTTCACGCTTGCCAACACACAAGTTTGACCAATAATATCTTTCATTCATTATTAGTAAAAAAATTAAAAAATTCATATTTTGAAAATTAAAATGAGATAATTTTTTTTTTAAAATTTAATTTATTATACATCGATAAAGAAAATACAATCAAAGTAGAATATGTGAATAGTGCAAAAAGTCCAATGTTGCAATTAAAAGAGAACGGAGGTAGTATGTTGCTCCTAAATACACTAGGCGGTCCTCGCTCCTACGTGGGTCCCTCAAATTAAATAAATGATTGTTAAAATTAACAGCTAGACTAAAATTCACAATCTTATGCGTCGTATTCTTGAAATTTTTATTTAGTGAAAAAATTATTTCCGGGGGGCGATGTTAGACGTACTTTTGGTCCAAATTTTAGTAATAGATACCACATTATACATGTACGTATTTACACATTTTTTGAAAGTTTACGCTTTTTTCAACGATTTTTTGACCGTTTTTATTCAAGTTACCGAATAAAACGTGTACGTATTGAACCTCGTTTAATTGCGGTACTGTATTTAACTAACTAGGGTCTGAATAACTATGCGATCTATGTATGGTGACTAAATTGAAGGATAAGCTTATTGAACGATGATTAGGCTCACATTATTGTATGATGTAGAGTGCTAGGCGGTGAAACAATATCATATTCAAAAGATAAGTGTTATTTAAATGCGCATGTTGCGGCGGATGTGTGAACATGCTAGAAAAGATTGCTTGAGTAATGAGACAATCAGACAACAAATCTGCAGTGTTGATTGCAATGGTTTGACCATGTGAGAGTCTTGATTGCACTGGTTTGACCATGTGTAAAAAACGATAGATGCACTTGTTAAACAAATTTAGAGGCGGGAGAGGAGGCAAGGATGAGAGGGAGAGGACGACCTAGACTCACGTGGATTATATTAGTTAAGAATGATATGAAACTTCCTTTTTTGTTACAACGGAAAAAATGATATGATATGATACTTCCTGGATTAGATGAGAGTATGACTTTGGAGAAAACGAAATGGAGGGAAAGTATACATTGAGGATTGATATTGTTTTATTTGTCTCCCGTTTTCTCTATCTATTATTTTTAATTTCGATGTAATTTGTCGATTCATGTTAGCCGACCCCAAACTATTTTGTGAATAAGGCTTGGATGTTGTTTTTATTATATGGATATGTCATTGCATTCAGGGGGAGGTCAACTATACATGTGGGGGAAAATAAAGGTCACAGGGGATGACTGGATGTATCCTAAAGCTCAAATGGATCTAAGGTTCCTTCCCACCTACATAAGGGTTCCTTTTTATTTTCTTCTCTTGTTCATTTCAAATGATCTTGGTTATATTCTTGTGTTATTATTATCTTATATTTATGTATCTTTATTTTATTCATTTTATCTTACTTTTTTTTCTTTTTCTTGTCCGCCTTCTCTTTTTGGCATCGATATCATAGATCGATTCATGTTAGCCGACCCCAAATTCTTTTGGGATTAAGGCTTGGATGTTGTTGTTGTTGTTGTTCATTTCAAATGATCATTATTATTTATAATAGTTGAAGTCGCATGTGCTAACATATTGATTTACCTTCGAAGTGGGTGGAACTTGCGTTGTATGGATTCGGGGAATATGCATCACTTTGTTGGTGCTGATTCCTCTTGTATAAGCTGGGGGCATGCACAATCAGGGGAGCTTGGTTACGGCCCTAATGCTCAAAAGTAAACATTCACTGACATTTGTATATATGTCTATATACATATCGAGTGTAGCTTTTGTCATCTACTTTCTAGCTTTTATATTCATTCGTAATAACTTTTTACCTGGGATGTAGATCATCTGCAGTTCCTAAAAAGGTGGACATCCTAGATGGCATGCATGTTCTCAGGTTAGTATTTGTTTTCACTTTTGCTATCCACAACTCTGGGATTTTTTTTGATAGTTGATACAAAGTCATGTATTGTGTTTTTCTCTCGTTTTCATAGTGTTGCTTGTGGATTTTCCCACTCCATGATAGTTGTTGACAGGGCAAATGTTGGTGATAAATTGGACCAGGTGAGCTTATTGCTTCAGAATTTTCCCTTTTTTGTGCATATCCCTTGTGAGAATGTTTGAACCTTTGAAATCCTATTAAAATGAAGGAATGTGCTCATGAAAGTCAATTTCTTATGTCTGGATTTACCTGTAAATGCAAACGGTAATACTTTTTTATTATGTAATTAGAATATAATTAAAAAACATCCGAAACAAGTTTATTGAGTTTTAGACTATGTCATTTTCCTGTACATTTTTTTCTTTTCTATTTTCCTCAGTTTTGCTACCTGTTTTATTTCCCTAATATTTTCCAGCACCCAAACAGACCCCTAATCCCCTGTCATTTAATTTATGATTCCCATTCATTTCAATTCCGGTCATCAATTCAATCCAAACAAAAGGCTGAACTTTTGTTGTCGAGTACTTGAGAGTTGAGAATGGTTTTTAGATCCCAGCGTTATTCTGAATGCTTGGTAGTATGCTTGAAATGTTGAAAGTAGTTTAGAAATGAAAAGATCTCCATCTAATTCACATACCCATGTGTTGTCACAGCTTGAAGTATATGATGGCAAGATTTCTGAAGAAGGTAAATGCTCTTGAAGATTCATTTGTAACAGTCCAGTATGACTTTAATTTCTCAGGTGGAAGCTAAAGACATTAAAAAAAGATGTTTTAGAAATTCTATTGAAAGAAAAAAAGAATTCAAAAGATAAAATAGCTGGGATTTTTTTGAAATGTTACCAAACAAACAATTCCTTAAGGATAAGATTAGTTAAAAATACAAAAATATCCTGAAATAAGAGGGAAGCATTGAACATTTCCTCAACCCACCATCCCAAGATAGGACCCGTGCACTCCTAAAAGGTTTGCCAAATTGTCTTTTCTTAGTCAATGGTTGTCAACTTTGTCCAATGCTATTTTTTAATAGTAATTGTCCTAAATAAGACTAACTGTAAACATAATTGCACAAATAGAACTAAAACTTAATTCTTTAATAAATAGGACTAAACATTAATTTTCTACTCTTAATACTCCTAATCTAATGAGTTAATTGGCCCCTAGTTCACTTGCATAACCGGGTTGGGGCAGACCGGCTGCGGCTGCATGTGACAACAGCAGCGGGGGCGTTTGCGCGGCCAGTGTCTGATGGCCGAGGGCCAATGACAGTGGCTAGGCACGGGCACTCAAAAAAACTATAAGTGTATATTTTCCCAAACACACATGATTAGTCCTATTGGAAATTTAAAACAATGTAGTCCTATTGTGATTTTCGGCCATGTTTTACTCGTATTCAAGTCATTCACTCATTTTTAACGGGAAATTATTTTGAATATGAAAATTATTTTAAAATATTTTCATAAAAGTATAAAATTTATAAATTATATACAAATATAATAATTAAAATCATTGTCCAAAGTTTCCAATCATTGACTAAGAAAAGTCAGTATGACAAACCTTTTCGGGATGGAGATAGACTATCAATCATATTTTTGATTTTTGTGTATTATGTTTTACTTTTATTGTGAGCCATTTCTTAAAACAAAACACCTCATTGGCTATGTTTCAAGATCAAACAGGGAAGTGACTCGGACAAATGACTGGGTCACGGTCAGGCCGGACCCAGGGAGTCAACCCAGTCAATGCTGGTAAAATCCGGTCAACATTTATGATTCATTATATTTATAAGTACTCCCTCATTCTCGCTAAAATTGTCCCATCTTTCATTTTCGATCCGTTCCATTAATATTGTCTCATACCAACTTTGGTAAATCGTGTGTGGTTCTAAATCATTCTTAATTTATTCTTATTTTATCAATTCAATATCAACCACATAAACTCGTTTTCTTAATATGCGTGTCGTTCACTCATGCCCCAATGTTAGTGGGACAAAGGTAGTAAATCACAATATATAAAATTTAAAGGTTCCCAATTCGGTTTACGATGCTTGACTGATGATAAATCAATTTAATCCCTTGTTCACACTCCGATTATTTTTAGTAAACAAAATTTACATATTCAGAAACTACGTCAAAGTCGTTATAAAACCTGATAAAGAATGTAAATTTCATAAAAATTTGATATATAAAGCAAAAGGTTAAGAATGATTTAAGTTGACCATGTGAATAGTGGATGAGAATTTTTAAATGGGCCGGAGGGAGTATAATACTAGTAAGCATTGTGATGGCTAACATATCCTTAGTAAACTGAGGGAGAGTCAGAAAATATCACAAGTATTAGGTGAGTCGGAAATTTGACAGAGTAAGTATATGCTGAAAATTTAATCAGGAAGTCAGTCAAGTGTGAAATTAAAAAACATTGCGTTTATATATATATATATATATGTGTGTATATATATATATGTATATATATATATATATGCTCAAGCCCCCTCATTTGTGCGGGCGGGCCTGCTCGTTTTTGTGCAGGTCTACTACCCTCAAAACCATTATGACTTAGGACCACATGCTTATTGAGGTCACCTATGACTAGTTTCTGTCTCATGGCGCTCATCACACCGCTTCCTCACTATCTTTCCAAAATTGGTGAGCGTGCATCTGATCCCACTTATGGTTTATAAGCACTTACAACATACATGATCTATAATAAACTTAATGTTCAATTTTTTTCCAACTTAATACTCATAATGCAAGTGTTCTTTTTAAAGACTTTCACCGCACCCTCAACATAGTCACACATCACAACAGTGCCTACTCCATTTTTTGGTGCCTAATCTCACATGCCTTTTCTCCACCTCGCTTAGTTTCTTGCACATACATAAGCTGATATTCCTACCCCTCATAACATCGACTACCTCAAAAGATCTTCCTGTAAGAGAATCAACATTCTATGTTCCAAAGCACAATCTATCACACACCTTCTATTTTTCGCACCCCATCGACTCCCACAATGCCCTTTCATTTTTGACACCATCCCCATTCTTTGGAGTAGCGTGCCGATTTTGGGCGATGAGCTAACAACCTTAGCGGTCTTATCACCACCCCAAGCCTATTATTATATTAAGTACGTATTAGTTAACATTGTATGGTAAGGAATAAGAACAACTAAACATTCAACCGGCCCTATTTGGTAGAGTGGAAATAGAGTTGATCCTTGGTGTGGCAGGTGCAGGTTTGATTCCTGCTGGCCATATGTTTTTCATGTAAGCTAATTCTTCCAAAATTCCCGGGGTGTTCCGGGATTGGTTCATTGCGGGTCCATACTGGGCTAAGACGGGATTGGTGTCATGTTGCCGGTTTCCAGTTCAGCCTGCCTGGTCCCATCTAGTTCTTATAACATTTCCTAAAAGATTAGTTCTTTAGGATTAAAAGAATGTCTTTACACGGTTGCCCGGTCCCATCTAGACATTCTTTCCTAAAAGATTAGTTCTTATAACATTTCCCATCATGTTGCCCGGTCCCATCTGTCAGGTCGCGATTAAAAGAATGTCTTTACACGGAAGTATGACTTATTATTCGAGTATTATGAGTTATTTTCTCATTTCAATGCAGCAGACCAAAAGTAGAATACATAATCCCTTATAATCTTATTTCCGTTAACCAACCAACAATGGAAGACAGGTTCTTTCTTGAATCATCACCCATTCTTCCCAGAAGGATACATTTATATTTCTCTTTTTGAAATCATATACTTCATCCTTCCAACCAAATGGGCACTGTAAGGGTTTCAGGGGGGATTAAAGAGTAGATCTGATTGCTGTGTGTGTACTTGGTGAAGGACCAGATAATGAAACTCCAGTCACTGAAAAACCTCCTCCAAAAGTGGCTACCAGAAAGTTGGCTGCTGCCCCAAAGTCCAAAAAGAGGATGAAGTCTAATGATTCATCATCAGATTCAGGGGGAGGTGGTGACGATGAAAACGGGCATAGTGATGATGACAGTGAAGAAGGATCTAATGGACAAAAAGCTGCTGCTGGTAATGGTAAGAAGAAGAGTGGCAGCAAATCTACTCGTGGGAGAAAGGCAGCCAGTAGTGACAAACCAAAGGGTTCGGGGAAAAGAGGAAGACCAAGAAAAACCACCGAGTAGTGCCCGATCTATTGTCCACCTTATTAGCAATTAGCAATATCTTTATAGATCTCAAATGTACTCATTCCTTCAATTACTTTATACTTTTGTTTCATTTTTAGAAAGTTTATTTATTTAGTCTATTTTAACATTTTAGAAACATTGAAATTTGACTGGTGTCATACTGTCATGTAAAAATAGTCTAACACATTGTGCCTGTCACTCCGGTCAGAGTCGGCTAGTATTTGGAACATGAGAGGGAGTAGGTGAAAATTCCTCACGAGATGGATACCACTAGGTCTGGGTAGGGATGGACTGGGCCGGGCTGAACCGGCCCGGAATCGGACCGGCTCGCTACTGTGCGGTCCCGGACCGGGACCGGTTGGCCGGTTCCGGGCTTTTAGCCCGTTTGGGCGGGTCGGGCTCGGGCCCAGTTTTGGTCGAACTGGCCCGGGCGGTTCGTGCCGGGCCCGGGTCAATTTTTTTTTTCAATTTTTTTTCTTTTCCTAGGGTAGGGCTGGGTGTTTTGGGGAGGTTTGGGGGTGGGGGTGAGGGGGGGGGGGGGTCGGGGACTCTGGGGATAACAAGAAAGCAAACAAAAAAAATAGACATTGAATCGGGCCCGGCCTGGCCTGGCCCGATCAGGCCCGGACCCGGTATCAACCAGGGCCGGTTCCGGGCTCAAGGATTTGCAAAAAAAGCCCGTCCAGGCCCGGCCCAGAACCGGAATCGGACCGGTTTGGGTCCATCCCTAGGTCTGGGTTGGGAAAAGTGAAAACTGAATTAAAATAAATTGAATCGCAGTTTGGTTTCACTTTTGAACCGGACCGGCCTGCTACTGTGCGGGCCCGGACCGGCCCGGTGAACCGGTTGGTTGGCTGGTTCGGGCCACCCGGCCTGGTGGGATGGCGGTTCGGGCTCGGGCCCTTCAAAAGGAGAACCGGCCCGATCGATTCGGGCCCAGGCCAGGCCATATTTTTTTGAATTTTTTGAATTTTTTTTAAGTGTTTGGGTTGGGCTGGGTATTTTGGGCCATTTGAGGTGGTTAGGGTTGGTTTGGGGGTGAGGGAGAGGGTTGGGGGTTAACTAGGAAAAGCCAAAAAAAAAAAATAGAACAGAGGTCCGACCCGGACCCGGGGGTTACCCGGGCCGGTTCCGGGCCTCCCCTTCATGAACCGAGGCCCGGCTGGGCCCGAATCGGAACCGGTCCATCACTACTTTGTGGCATTGGACTATTGGAGTATTGTTATTTTTTACTGTATTGGTCTTGTACTCTTGTTGTTAACTGTTAAATATTAATTACTACATTTATATTTTTAGTAATTTCAGTGTACTGTAGTTTTTAGTCTTTGATTCTAAAGTGCTAGAAAATTATTTTTGTGTTAAACTTGACGTATAATTCACTTTATTTGTTTACAAAATTTGTTTACACTTTCATTCTCTATAACTAGTGTAGAGTTTGGGTGTTGCCTTGTGCCCTTGTGGTGGTATTTGTACTTTTCAATTGAATTTATTCTATAAATGTTAATATTTAAATTTTGTGAATACAACTATACAAGGAAGTATTGGTAAAAAAAAAATTAATTTACACAAACCATACTAATATATAAAAATTATATACATAATCCTATTTTGATTTAAACAATGCTTCAAGGCTCCCTTACTTTGTAATTAATCATGCATATCATATTCTAAATTATATTTCAAAATTATATGACAATTAATACTCAAAAAAATCATTTTTTAGTGTTGTGATCGAACATGTACATAAATTTTCTAAATGTCTACGTATTATTAAAAAATTTGTGTTCTATATAACATACTCCATTCGTTCCCATCTATTTAGCCAATGTTGACTGACACAAGGAATAAGGAAAAATAGTATTTGGAGTTGGATGGACAAGTTTGCCCCTGATTTAAAATGCCGAAAAGCAGAAAAATGGACCGTAAAATGTATTTGCAGGGACAACAACAGCTTCACTTCCGATAAGTGACGGAACACACACTTGTACAAGTCCCAAATTTAAGAAAAATAGAGGGAAGAAAAACATGTATAGTTCGTAGCTCTCATTCTTGAATCCTAGTCAGGGATAACGAGTCTTCAATTGGATCTTCCTCAAACTCTTGAATTCCTCATACAATATTTGAAACAACTCTTCTGTGTTCTTCTTTGACCAAATCATATATCGTGTGGATACCTTCACCCCATCGTCGGAAAATGGGTAGACGCCATCTTCAATCGCCGGAGAGGAACACGTCTTCAGAGTGGGGGCGACAATGTTTCTCCAAAGGGACTAGGGATGGATTCGGTTCGGGCCACCCGGCCCATGACCCGGCCCATGACCCGACCCAGCCCGGTACTGTGCGGGCCCGGGACCGGCCCGGTCGGGCGGTCCGGGACCGGGTATGGACCCGAACCGATGGGAAGGGGCGGGGCGGGCTCGGTTCTGGTTTTTTGTGACCCGGCCCGGCCGGGTCGGGCCCGGGCCCAGGTCTATTTTTTTTAAAAAAAATATTTTTGGTTTGGGCTCCTACTAGCCGTTGGGGGTGGGGCTGGCGACAACCCAAACGGCTATATAGCCGTTGGGTGGGGTAAAGGGGGGGTCCGGGGGGGTTGGCTGGGGGGGGGTGGGTGGGGGGTGGGGGGTAAAAAAACCTATAAATACTCCTAATCTTAAACATTTTTTCATATCTCTTCTCCAATTCTTCCTAAATCCTATTCTTAACTCTCTACTCTCTAATTCTCTTATTCTCCAATATATTATATTTATTATTTATATATCTACTTTATAGTTTATACTTAAGAAGTTAAGATGGAAAATCAAGATGCCATTATACGGTATAATTTTGATAAGCAGAAGGACCCGAAGACCGGGATGTGGTACGCAATTTGCAAATGGTGCGAGAAAAAATGTAACATGGGGGCTTCAGGCGGATTCGGGATGGTAATCAAGCATATGAAGTCATGTGACAAAGCCAAAGGATCGGGAGGTGCGGGAAGTTCCGATTGATTACAATTTTCAAAATGTTTATCTTTTAAAGTTTGTTTTAATTTTCAAATGTAGTTCCTATTTCATTTCAAATAAATGCAATTGAAGTTTGTTTTTAATACTCGTATAAAACTATAAACTATAAAATATAAATTAAAAAAAAATTAACCGGCCCGAACCGGACCCGACCCGTGACCCGGGCGGGTGGCCCGGCCCGAACCGGACCCGTCCAACCCTCGGGCCGGTCCCGGACCCACTATTCTTGAACCGGCGGCCCGACCGGGCCTAGGCCCGGCCCGGGCCCGACCCGGCCCGAATCCATCCCTAAAAGGGACCAAGGGAGTATAATTTGCTCCTCTAGAGTAACATATGCATGATTCCTATCATATTCATATATGAGATTTTAGTGTTTTTTAAATAAGGAGTTAAGGTGTATAATTTACACATCAAGATGTAATAAATTCAAGAATCATCAATCAATAAATTAAATGTTTCACCGTGTTTACCAACATCATTAGCGACTAGGGTTCAAATGGTGATTGACGGTTGCGCAGATAGAATTGGGCGATGGGTATGATTACAAGTGTTGGCTAGTGTGGGTGGATGTGGGTGGTGCAGAGGTGAGCGATCCTTCACCGGGCAGTGTCAGGAAGGGGTTGGGGGAGGCTGGAGAGGGGTTGGGGATCGGGCTAGAGATGGGCTGGGGAGGCTGGCCGCCAGAGTGGGGAGGACAAGATGATCACTGAGGAGGTGGTTTGGCAAGGCCGGCGGACGGTTGCGGCTTGCAATGGCCATTATTGGTTTGGGTAACTGTAACAGGTCAGCCCGCATAACTGTAAGTGATCGGGACAAATAATTGTAATTGATCAAGTCAGATAATTGTAATTGGTTGGTTCAGGTAAGTGTATCTGGGAAGGGTATAAAAACTATATAGTTCTCTTTTTTGAAAACATATAAAAGTAGACACATTTTTAGCAATAAGTTTTCATTTAGTAAGGTTAATGGCAAACCCCTTGTATACTTTTTTAATGGCAAACCCCTTGTATACTTTGTATATGTATATTTAGGATTTATAAAAAACGTGTAAAAGTCGAATAATGAAAAACTAACATTTTAAAGTTCTTTTAATATAAAAGAGCGACTCCTATAATATTTTCGCGAAATCAACAAGTCAATCTCTAGACAATTATTACAGATCCGATCATAAGCCTGAAGAATAGACATATAGTAAGTCACCTCATACAAAGCAACCTGACTCGTTAGACACGAAACATAAATATTTAAGCCTAAAATGACAAATATCAAAACATTGTACATTAAAAGTATCCCAAATATGCAGATATCTAAATTAAACATATTCAAACTAAAATAAAAACAAGTATTACTGAAGAAAATATAATACTGGAAGAAAGCTTTTTCACAGAACTCTTCCTGGCATAGAGATTGTTCCAGAGGAGGACAAACTACTGCAATATGATAGATATAGAAACAGGTGGAGTAAAACTAATTTGTGTGCTTCTACCATTCTCTACGCAGCCCAAAGAAGACCGACAAAAACTCCAGACTGTTGGAAAAATGGTTTTACTTTTATATAATAGTCACCTTTGAGCTAAAATAATTATGGGACCCATAACTCGCTAGTGGAAGGACCAAGTCCTAACTTGTGGTACTTCAAAAGGTGAACACAACCATATATTAAAGTGTACAAAATCATTTAGAAATAAATGAGAAACTGTTCCCTGAACTTGCCTAAAAACCAGTTTCAGAAAGTACTTTGTCCAACACAAAAAATGGAGAGTTAAGGAAGTGTCTTTATATAAGCTTTCCTTAGCTATTGGGCTCTTGGGACATCGAAGGTTTGTTGTGCGGTGAGACCCGTATACAGTGAGCGTGGAATTAAGTCTTCACAAACGTCGCTGCCGTCTGTCGGGTCGGGGTTCATGTCTTTGATCGGTCAACTCTGGTTGTTTAAAAGTCCGCATGCCTAAATTCTAGAGATTGTTTTTTGCTTCGTTTTTTGAATAAAACCAAACCAGAAAAGACGCAACCCCTTCTTTTTAAAAGAAAGGTTATGATTATTCTTCTAAAATATGTCTTTTGAGTTAGAGACTCCTGACCAGAGCTTTATAAATACTCACCCGGTCTGTTGTTTTGGGATATCCAAAATTCACAAACAATTTCTCTATATTTTCTCTTGCTTCGTTGCATCTTTGAGTTCGCCGAAGGCCCGTTGGGAATGAAGAATCACTCTATCGTGGGAGGCATTTGCTACGTATGTCGGGCAAAAACG